TCCCCCTAGGGGGAGAGCCACGCCCCTCCCCACTCAGGAGCCCCCATCAGCCCCGCTTCCAGGAACTGTCTCTCATAGTTGAGGTCTACCTATGATGTCAATTACAGGCCTCTCTCATCTTTTTAAGTGGGAGAACTTGCACAATTGGTGACTGACTAAATACTTATTTTCCCCACTGTATATACACACACATATAAATGGGGTAGAGCAATGTTTACCACTGTGAAGCTTCCCCTCTTTTAGTAAAAACACTGTTTAAACATCCAGGAACTGAGATCAATTGCTAAAGTTTATGTAGAGTGATGTCTCATTATTTTCTGAAGTAGGATTCTCACTGACTCATCTTTGCTTTTTTTCTGGGTGGGGAGCATATGTTGTTCAAAAACCTGTAAATAATTTTCTTTATTGATGTTTCCTTTCTAGATGCAAGTTTCTCATCCCAGAGGCACTAATGCACCCCCATACCATCAGAGAGGCAGATTTCTTTAGTAACTGTGCCCTGATAACACATCTGATGGTTCCTTCCCTCTTAAAATAGAGGCTGTTGCAATAGGAATGTGACACTTGATTTGTCCAACTTACAATAATCCATTTTAACTTAGTTTTGGCCCAGAGAACATGGCGGCAAACTGTATCTACAGACATTGTTTTGTATAAGTGTTCCTGAGCCCATGCAGTGATGTCTGTAACAGAATGATAACTTGATRTTATAGAGCTAACATCTAGCTAACAAATGAGTTCAATAAGAGTTTATCTGTTGCTTTATTTTGTGTTGAAGCACCAAGAATGAACAAAATCACACAGTATGTTGGGTTTAGAGAATGATTGGGAGATTAATGCTCCGCCTACCAAACAATGCCTTTTTTTTCCTGCTTACCAACATGACACATCCCTGCTGCACACCACAGTTCCCTGTCACAATCCCACAAAACACAGCAAACCAAAATTTACCCTTAAATCCTCTCTCGCACAAGCACTTTTTGACCCTCCACCCTCCCTCTGACTATTCTTTCTGTATGTTGTTTTCTATATTTAATGCATGCTGGACCCCCTCAGTCAGGTCATGGTTGTCCAGAATGCCAGGTATGTGATTTGCCCACTCTGTTTTGGGTAATTAGTTGTCTGTTTGGTCACACGATGGCCATGTTAATATTGATTACAATGGAGTGGAAGAATCATAATTCATTGCGTGTCACAGTAACTCCCTTCACTCTTCAGTAATTTGTCATTTTTTTGATATGTTCCCTTTAACTTTATACGTATCTTGGATTTTGAGGGGGTGAAAATCCCCTTTAAACTAACACATCTAAACACATATTCCCCTGCGCTGTTGTCTTTTCCTTCAAGATGGTCTGTTTTTGTTTCCCCCTGTTTTGTACTAAGAATCCTTCACTAACGTCCAGCATTGCCCCTCCAACATCATACTGCACCCTTGACAATGTGCCCTTCTCGATACAAATGTGCAATTTTGCTCTGTTGCACTGATTCATGCCATTCTTTTCTAGTACAGTAGAGTAGATTGTTTGTCTTTTCTGAAGTAGCTACTCATACCTTGCAGTCTTAATCAAATCCTACACTCTGCAAAAAACATCCATCTGTAAAAGTCATTCATTCTGTTCCACTGAAACATTTATTTTTCCTCCAAATTAGTCAAATAAATGCTTTCTGACATTAATTTCTCTTAAATCCAAACACCTTTTTTTCCTCAAAAAAATCAGACGAATTATCTATTTTTTTAAAACTGACCTTTTTAAAGACATCGTTTTACACCTGTATCATGAAACCACATCTAAATTTTGAGGCTAAATGACTTGATGGACATCAAAATGGACTTTTTTGCAGCGCGCCCTGACGTCATGCACGTATATAGTCTCTTACATTGTTTCCATCCAAACCCCGCCGCTCACTGTCACCTTCCTACCCTCGTGCCTCCACGTTGTGCCCTGCTCCAGCAGCAGCTTGTTGTGGTTGGTCCACTAACCCGCATGCGAGCGTGCACGATGACAAAATGCGTGTCTTGTGGTCTGTTCCCACAGCGCCGAGAACAAGAGGAAATCCAAACACGCGGGGAGGAGTCTCAATCCTGAGTGGAACCAGACTGTCATCTATAAAAACATCCACCTGGAGCAGGTAGTGTGTCTGCTGGATGTTGTGCTTTCCAACACTGGTGGCGATGGATGTGTGTTACGTTTTATGGGTGTGTGTTCCAGCTGAGGAAGAAGACCTTGGAGGTGACCGTGTGGGACTACGACAAAGGCTCCTCCAACGATTTCTTAGGAGAGGTAACCCTTCCTCTCAGAAGAGTTTTGTTTTAAATCTGAGTGAAATTAATAGTTGTTGTTTGCTTTATTATTTGCTGCTAGGTTCTCATTGACCTGTCCAACACGTCCCAGCTGGACAACGTCCCCCGATGGCTCCCGCTTAAGGAGCAGAGCGAGGGGGACCACCACCGACGCKCCCACTCAGGCCAGGGCCGACACGGCTCCTCTAAACCGTCCTCGCAGCACTCCTCCCCCAAAACCACTGCCTCCGCACACGATAATCAGGAGTCGCCCAAATCGTCGGTCATCAAGAGTCGAAGCCACGGGATCTTCCCTGATCCAGCCAAGGGTAGGACTCGATGAACCCCCTCTTCCCTCCCCTGCCTGACTCAGTCCCTGTCGTTCCCAAACAGCTCCCTGTTTCCTCCCTTCTTCTTTCTTCTTTTGGCTTTTTCTCTCTTCCTGTCTTCTTGTTTTCTCCCCACACAGTCATATCATCTGTACTTCCAGCACCGTCTTTGCGCCCACTGTAGCTTCTGCTTCACGCCCCTCTTTTTGCTTCACGTGGTCTGTTTTCTTGGTTGCCATGACGTGTCCTAGCTCAGAGGCCTAGTGTTAGCTTTCCTCTCTGTTTCCTCTACATCAGAGCGCAGTATGGCTGTGGAAGGCTTTGTCTGCTTCCATATATTAAAAAAAATCTTCAAAGTGAATTCAAATTTGATCAAATTGCTTTAAGAGTCCACAGATTCAGTAAGGCAGTCACTAAGCAGGCTAAATTTACAACCCCTCCTTCACCACAGCAGGTAACCACCTCTACGTTCACTGAAGGGTCGACGTTTGTTTTGGTAATTTGGTGAATCTGGTTGTTTTAGACACACAGGGGACCGCTCTCGAGAAATCTCGCAGTAGTCCTGGCACGTCGAAGCCTTCCTCGTCCGAGGGCCAGAGCCACAGCCAGCACTCTCGCTCACACGGCGCTGCACGCTCCGGCAAAAGCGCAGCACGCCACCACCATCAGGACAGCTGCGGCGAAGGCAGCGGAGGCGCTGCCATAGCAACGGGTGAAGCCCAACAGCAGACACAGCCGCCACAACGCCTCCAACCAAGTAAACCAAGACGCAGATAAAGCCCACGCAGCATGGCCTCCCTGCACTCTTTTTTTAAACGTTCCTTTATTTTTCTTTCTTGATTCTAGTTTCACTCACTTTTTACACTCTAGTCTGTTCCCCGTTCTATCAGCACGTTACTTACAGGTCCGAGCAGCTTACCTGCAGTGGTGAAAACTGTCTCACCACCTCATTGAAGCCATAAAAGCTTAAAAAGAAAACTTGTTTTTTTAAAGAGACACAACCTGCAGGAATAATTCTTCCTTTTTATTTATACTGCATATTCTGATGTCTCTTCTCAAAAAGTATTTATTTGAAAGAACATCAGAAGTCTCCAGATTATTCTTTTAAAAGATTAGAAATGCAGCATAATTAAAGGGGCAATATTATGTGTTTCTCAGGCATACATTTAAATACTATACCATAATAAAGTATCTATGTCACCTTTAGATGTTATTAAAATGCTGGTTTTATATTTAAATAGAAAATAAACTTATCTTCTCATCACTTCCTCTTGTAAACACCTTGAAATTGGCCTCTGT